GTCTGTCTTGGGGCTTGAACTCTGGGCCTGGGCACTGTCCCTGAGAAGTTCAGCCCAAGCAAGACAAGCGCTCTACCACTTGAGCCACACTGGCACTTTGGAGATCTCAGTTGTGTGGACTTCCCTGCTGGCTTTGAGCCTCCAGCTTCCTGAGCAGCTAGGATTACAGGGATCAGCCCTAGGCACTCAGCTTCCTGGAGACTCTTATCTCCAATTAACTACCAAAAAAGCCAGAGGTGGGGCTAGAGCTCAAGTGGCTCCAAGCAAGCTACCCCTGAAGTCAAGAGCTTTTACAGACAGGGCCCATGCCCTGAGTTCAAGGCCCACCTCCTTGCAAAAAAAAAAAAAAAAAAAGTCAGCCAGTAAGCATACCCCTTAGGGCTGGGAAGGTGGCTCAGTGGTAGAGCGCTGCCTTGCATGCCTGAGGCCCTGGGTTCGATTCCTCAGCACCACATAAGCAAAAAGAAAAAAGCCGGAAGTGGCGCTGTGGTTCAAGTGGTAGAGTGCTAGCCTTGAGCTGAAGAGCTGAGGGACAGCGCCCAGGCCCAGAGTTCAGGCCCCAAGACCAGACCCAAAAGAAAAGAAAAGAAAGCATACCCCTTAGAAGGGCTTCCTTGTAAAAGGCAAATGGCTTGGCAAGTTGTGAGAATAAGCAGGGAATATGGGGGGGTCAGGTAAGGTGGAAAAGGGGCAGTTCATAAGGTTCTCAGAGACTACAGCTTAAAAAGGACCCAGAAGAGGCCTCAACACTAAGCCTATGAGAAGGTGGCAGAGGTGGTAGGAGCTAGGGTGGACCCCAGCAACACTCCTTCAAGATCCACCCAATAGGGGCTGGGAAGGTGGCTCAGTGGTAGAATGCTTACCTTGCATGCATGAGACCCTGCATTCGATTCCTTAGTACCACATATGCAGAAAAAGGCCAGAAGTAGTGCTGTGGCCCTAGTGGTGGTAGGGCACTAGCCTTGAGCTGAAGAGCTGAGGGACAGTGCCCAGGCCTACAGTTCTGCCCTCAGGACCAGCAAAAAAAATCATAGAAAGGTTCATCCAATTAGTAAAGGCAATCAAAATAGACTCAGTCAACAAATAAGGGTGGAGATAAAGCATTTTGGTATGTGCCAGAAAGGTTAAATGAGCTTTCATATGTAAAAGAACATCCTAACAGCCTGGCCCCACCCTCTGGAATTTAGTCCTTAGTAGGACCTTCCTTAATTGCCTCCTCTGGTTTCTGACCCCCCCCCCCCCCCTCATGCCCTAGGGGAAGGAATTTCCTTCCAATCCTAGAAATAGGCCTGGATCTTCACCATTATCCACTGCCTGAAGTAGCAGCCTTTTCCAGGTGCAGACGTCAATTTCTCCTCTTTTTTTTTTTTTTTTTGGTTGGTTGTGGGGCTTGCCTGGGCGCTGCCCTCAGCTCTTCAGCTCAAGGCCAGCACTCTACCACTTGAGCCACTACACCAATTCTGGTTTTCTGGTGGTTAATAGGAGATAAGAGTGTCTCTGTCTCAGACTATTTCTGCCCAGGCTGGCTTTGAACCATGATCCTCAGATCTCAGCTTCCTGAGTAACTAGGATTATAGGCTAGAGCCACCAGTGCCTGGCCAGTTACAAACACATGAAAACAAAAAGAGGTGGTCATATAACCTACACATAAAAGCAAAAAGGGCTAGGCACTGGTGACTTAGGCCTGAACTCCTAGCTATGTCTGAGGCTGTGATGAGGATTCCAGTTCAAAGCCAGCCCAGGCAGGAAAATCCACTAGATTCATCACTAGTTAACCACTCAAAAAGCCCACAGTGCAGGTGTGGCTTAAGTGGTAGAGCATTTTCATTGAGAAAAAAATGTGATAGTTCCCCCCCTCCCCCACCACGTTACACACACTAGGTGCTGGTGGCTCACTTCTGTAATCTTAGCTACTAAGGAGGCTGAGATTTGAGGATCACAGTTTGAAGCCAGCCCAGGCAGAAAAGTCTTTGAGACTTATCTCCAATTAACCACTAGAAAACCTGAAATGGCACTGTGGCTCAAAGTGATTGAGCACTAACCTTGAGCACAGAAGTTCAGGGGCAATGCCCAGGCCTCAAGTTCAAGTTCCTTGACCACCAAAAAAAGAAGAAAAAGAAAAGAGAAAAGAAACTGGGAGACAATGAGGGAGGGGTGACATTGTTCCAAAGGAAATGTACTCATTACCTGACTTATGTAACTGTCACCTCTGTACATTACCTTTACAATAAAATTTAAGAACTTAAAAAAAATAAAGAAACTAACCATAATGTTAATCTTCTTTCTCAGGGATAAACCCATATTCTGGGCGATGGTGGCTCAAGTCTGTAATCCTAGCTACTCCGGAGGCTGAGATCTGAGACTAGCAGTTCAAAGCCAGCCTGGGTTTAGGAATGTGGTTTAGTGGTAGAATGCTTGCCTAGCATGCATGGAGTCCTGGGTTTGATTCCTCAGTATCACAAACACAGAAAAAACCAGAAGTGGAGCTGTGACTCAAATGGTAGGGTATTAGCCTTGAGCAAAAACTCAGGGACAGTGCCCAGGCCCTGAGTTTAAGCCCCAGGACTGGCAACAAAACAAGTGCCAGGTGCTGGTGGCACCTAAATTCTAGCTACACACGAGGAGAAGATGTGAGGATTATGGTTCAAAGCCACCTTGGCAGTTAGGTCCCAGAGAGACTTAACTCCAATTAACTACCAGAAAACCGGAAGTGGAGCTATGGCTCAAGTGGTAGAGAGCTCAGCTTGAGCCCAAGAACTGAGGGACAGTGCCCAGGCCCAGAGTTCAAACCCCAGTACCAAAGACAAAGCAAAAACAACCAACCAACCAAGCCAGCCAGGGTATAAAAGTCCCCATGAGACCCTTAATCTACAATTAACCATTCAAAAACCAGAAGTGGAATTGTGGCTCAAAGTGGTACAGCGATGATCTTGAGCAAAAAGAGCTCAGGGCTAGCTGAGCGCCAGTGGCTCAAGCCTGTAATCCTAGCTACTCCGGAGGCTGAGATATGAGGATTACGGTTCAAAGCCAGGGACAGGAAAGTCCGTGAGACTCTTATCTCCAATAAACCACCAGAAAAGCAGAAGTGGTGCTGTGGCTCAAGTGGTAGAGCGCTGGCCTTGAGCTGAAGAGCTGAGGGACAGTGCCCAAGTTCAGAGTTCAAGCCTCACGACCGACCAAAAAAAAAAAAAAAGAGCTCAGAGCCAGTACCCAGGCCGAGTTCAAGTCCTCATAAAGGGTGCGGGTGCGCGTGCACGCGCGAGCATGCACACACACACACACACACACACACACACGAAAAGCAACAACAAAAAAGTGAGTCCACCAGACGTCCATGGCAGGTGGTCAGTGGTATATTAGCCCACGGTCTCTCCATCATATTAGGAGACACTCAGAAGGTCAGAGAGAACGCCTGAGAGGGAGGCAGTAGGAAGAGAGTACACACAACAAACTCTAGAGAGAAGCCTTATGTCTTGCCATATATACATATATATACCCTTCTACATGACATGGCTCCTCACCACCATTGTCTTGATGTTTCTGGCATCCGCCAGATGCCTGTGGAGGCCGTTCTCTCAGGGTGGTCTTTGCACCTCGCGTTCCCATCTAGTCTGGGGACCAGCATCACCGAGTTGCCTGGTGATGAGAAAATGCCACCAGGCCCTGCCCTTGGGGCTGCTTCCTGCGGGGGATGAAGATGTGGTCCAGGAGGAGGAATGGGACCTACTAAGATCATTCTGCAGAGTACAGAGTGCGGGCTGGGATGAACACTGAAGTCCGGAGGTCAGCGGTTAATGCCAAAGGGAAAGCCAGCCTGGGTGTAGACCCAAGGGGCGTCACGCCCAGCTCCCTCGCACACCTCCCAGGCCTTGGGGTGTTGGCACTGTTTTCTGCTCTACTCTCAGCGGGTGTTTGCGTCGGAGCCCGCGGGCCTTGGATCCCCGTCCCCTCCCACCCCCTGCTGGGATGCGGCTGGTGACCTTTGCGGGGTTGGGGCACGCCAAGCCCGGCCACCCCGCGTCCCGGCGCGGGGAGTGCGCCGCACCCTGGGAGGACCAGCACCTCACCCAGGCTTCACTGCAACGGCCCCCGGCGAGGAACAAAGGCCGGGGCGGGACGGAGCCTGGCGGCCCCCAGCTCCAAGGGGAACAAAGGCCCTGGGGTGAGCCGCGGCCCGCGTGGGCCCCGCCCCCCGCCCGCCCCTCGTCTCCCCCCCCGCCCGCCCCTCGTCCCCCCCCCCCCCCGCCCCGGGCCGCCTAGGCCTGGGCAAACGGGGTGGGGGCGGGGAAAGCTGCCCTCAGCTCCCGCTCCCGTTCCGCCTCCTCCGCAGGGGCTCACCCCACCGCACCCACCCCGGACTCCCGGGAGTGCCTCCAGACCGGGGCCCTCCCCGCAGGTCCTTCCCCGCGGGCCACCCTTTCCCGCCCGGGACAGATGCGGGCTTCCGGAAAGCGGATCCTTCCCAGACAGGCCTCCAGCCCACGTTAGAGCCTGGTCGACAGTAGGTGAGGTTTTGGGGGGACTGGGCGGGACTCTACGCTCACGCCGCCCTGGCTCACGGGTGCAGCGACTCGGAGCGCTGTGCGCCCAGAGGAAACTTGCTCCGAGCCCCGCGCCTCCCGCCGGGGCTGAGTGCGTGCCTCGACCTGGCCCCGCCCACAGAAGCCCCGCCCCTTCCCGGGGATTGGCGGTGCGCCGGCAAAAGGGGCGGGAAGGGACTAGAGGTTTGCACTACGCATGCGCGCGCACCGAGGTGCCTCGGCGGGTGCGTGGCCCGGTGCACCCCTCCACCTCACGCCGTCGTTAGTGGCCGAGACGTTTCTCTCCCCCGCCCCCCGCCCCCTTCCCCACCGCTACCCGCGTGGAGGGTGGGGAGGTCCGGGGTGGGTGGCCGCCCGCCGACGCGTGCGTACTCTCTGCCCTGCCGGAGGCTGCCGTTGTGGGCTCCGCCCCCGGGCGTGCAGCGCCCAACGCGCGTGCGCGGCGGCGCCAGTTATTTCTGTCCCGCCCCCAGGCCGCGGCTCTTTCTGCGAGCGGGCGCGCGGGCGAGCGGTCGTGTGCCAGCCCGGTTCGGATACGATCGGTGGCGGCTGCGGACCTGCGGACGCCGCCGTCGGGAGGCGAGCCGGCAGCAGCAGTCGGCGCAGTGTCTGGAGCACCCCACGCGCGGCCAGCGGAGACCCAGGAAACGCGTGGCGGTGTTCGGCCTCGCGGCGGCCGCGGCCCAGCCGTTGACGGCGAGCAGGACTGCGCCTGCGCAGCAGGCACTGCGCCCCCTCCTCCCCCTCTGGGCGCCCCCGGCGGCGTGTGAATGGCGGCCTCGGCGGCGGCGGCCTCCTCGGCGGCGGCCTCGGCCGCTGCGGGCAGCCCGGGCCCGGGCGAGACCTCGGCGGGCGGCGAAAAGCGCGCCGCCGCCTCTTCAGCCGCGGGCTCCGCCGCTGCCTCGGCCTCGGCGGCGTCGCCCGCGGCGGGCGGCGGCGAGGCGCTGGAGCTGCTGGAGCACTGCGGCGTGTGCCGGGAGCGTTTGCGGCCCGAGCGGGAGCCGCGGCTGTTGCCCTGTCTACACTCGGCCTGCAGCGCTTGCCTGGGGCCCGCGGCACCGGCCGCGGCCAACAGCGCGGGGGACGGCGGCGCGGCGGGCGACGGCGCCGGTGAGTGCGGCGCGCCGGGCCCCTCCCCCCCGCGGGCCGGCGGCCGGGCGGGGCGGGGGGGGGGGCGGTCCCCGACGCGGCGGCGGGGCCTGCGCTGGGCTGTGGCGAGCGGCACCTGGCTCACGTTAGGGGAGAGTGGGCTGGGGAGGGAGGCGGGCCGGCCGAGGCCCAGCCCGGCCCCCTTGCGCTAGCCTCACCGGCCCCCGCCCCCCGCAGTGGTGGACTGTCCCGTGTGCAAGCAGCAATGCTTCTTGAAAGACATCGTCGAGAACTACTTTATGCGCGACAGCGGGGGCAAGGCCGCCTCCGACGCCCAGGATGCCAACCAGGTGCGTGGTCCTCCCGCGTGCCCGCGATCGCGCCCCGCGGAGCCCCGCTTTATGACCCCAGCTTGAGCGTCTCCTCTCTCGACAGTGCTGCACTAGCTGTGAGGATAACGCTCCCGCTACCAGCTACTGCGTGGAGTGCTCCGAGCCGCTGTGCGAGACGTGTGTGGAGGCGCACCAGCGGGTGAAGTACACCAAGGACCACACCGTGCGCTCCACCGGTACGTGACGGCAGGATCTAGGAGTCCCCTTTTAATTGGCGTGTTCTGGAGATGTGCATGCGAAAGTGTGTCTCTGTGATTTTAATAAGGGATACCATCAGGAGGGCCGGAGCGCGGAACTCAGAAGTGAATGCTGGAGCTTTAGAGTGCTTTGTTTGGGGCATTATTTGGGCAGCATGGACATGGACCTGGAAGCATAGTGGTCCTCAGCCTGCCACGAAGGGTGCATAGCATTGTGGGTGTGAAAGGTTTAGCATATGCAGCTAGTGAAAGATATGCGATGCCGGAACTGCTGGTTTTTGGGTTCCCTGGTATGTGGCCTGGGAAATGAGGCTTCTGGGACAGATTTTTGTGCCAGTCCTGGGGAGATCTTGAATTTGGCCTTGAGTGTTCCTGAGCTCTTTTGCTCAGGGAAGCACTGTACCACTAACTGGAGCCTCAGGGGCGCGCGCGCGCGTGTGTGTGTGTGTGTGTGTGTGTGTGTGTGTGTAGATAATAGTTTGCTGGACTTTCTTCTGCCTGTTTTGGCTTTAAACTCTGACACTTAAGTTTCACAGGACTGCAGTTTGAGCCACCGGTGCCTGGCTAGGACCCCTTACTTTGGGGGGTGAGGGTTGTATTACGGGGAGGTTGATTTCAGTGCCACTTGAACACCTCCTGGGATGGGCCACTTTTTTTTTCCGTGTGTGCATGCATGTGCTCACATATGCACATGCCAGTCCTTTTGTTTTTGTTTTTGCTGATCCTGTGGTTTGAACTGAAGGCCTTGGCACTGTCCCTGAGCTTTTGCTGTACCACTTGAGCCCGCAGCATCATTTCCAACTTTTTCTGCGTATGTGGTACTGAAGAATCGAACTCAGGGTGTATCATGCATGATAGAGAAGCATCTACCACTAAGTCATATTCCCAGCCCTGCCACTCCCCTTTTATTCCTCTCAAGAGCACTACTTGATACAGTTCCACTTTTATTTATCTATTTTTTTTGGAGGGTCTAACTGGAGATTGAGTCTCAGATTTGTCTGCACTCACTTGCTTTGAACAGCAATCGTCTGATTACAACCTTCTGCATAGTTAAGAGTACAGCCACAAACCATTGGAGCCCAGCCTGGGGCAGGTTGAGAGAGAGAAAGAGTGTGTTTGTGTTTGGGGCCTGGGCACTACTGTCCTGAGGTTTTTTTTTTTTTTTGCTAAAATGGTTTCACTTGAGCCACACTTCAATTCTGGCTGAATTGGAGATGAGTTACACCTAATTTTATTGCCACAGCTGGCTGATTTTTTACTGTGATCCTAAGATCTCAATCACCTGAGTAGCTAGGATTACAGGTATAAGCCAAGGGTGTCCAGACAGGTTTTATGGATCAGCATTCATTCCAGGATCTGATCAACCTTGATATGGCCAGTCCCGTAATGCTCAAGGCAAGCGCTCTACCACTTGAGCCACAGCACCACTTCTGGCTTTTTCTGCTTATGTGGTGGTGAGGAATTGTACCCAGGGCCTCATGCATGCCAGGCAAACACTCTACCACTGAGCCACCTTCCCAGCCCCTCAAGAGGCTGAGACCTAAGGATCTGGGTTCAAAGCCAGCCCAGACAGGAAAGTGAGACTTTCATCTCCCACTTACCACCAGAAAATCACAAGTGATACTGTAACTCAAAGTAGTAGAGTCCCCAGGCCCTGAATTCAAGCCCCCATGATCTTTTAACTCTTCTGTTTTTGGTGGTACTGGCAGTTTAACTCACAACCTTATGCTTGCTGCACACAGTCTACCATTTGAGTTACTCCAGATTTTTTTTTTTTTTTTTTTTGGGCCTGGTGGTAGGGCCTGAACTCTGGGCCTGGACGCTGTCCCTCAGCTCTTCAGCTCAAGGCTAGTGCTCTACCACTTGAGCCACTGTGACACCTCCCATTTTCTGGAGGTTAATTGGAGATAAGAGTCTCACAGACTTCCTGCTGAGGCTGGCTTTTTGAACCCTTCCTGAGTAGGCCAGGCACCCCACTCATTTTGTTTAATGACTTTCGGAGTAGGATATCAGGGTTTTTTTTGCTTGAGCTCAGCCCTAAACCATAGTCTTACATAGTTGGTTGAGTTGGGGGGAATCCTGGTAAATTTTCCTATCCCAAGCTATTCTCTAATTTCTGCCTTCTGAGTATCTGAGGTTACAGGCATGAACCATTGGGTTTCATGAACTGCCTTGATATTACAGTTTCTTGGCCTAGAAGATAGATTGTTTTTTTTTTTTTTTTTTTTTGGGTTCGGTCGTGGGGCCTGAACTCTGGGCCTGGGTGCTGTCCCTCAGCTCTTCAGCTCAAGGCTAGCGCTCTACCACTTGAGCCACAGCACCACTTCCGGCTTTTTTTTTTCTTATGTGGTGCTGAGGAATTGAACCCAGGGCCTCATGCATGCTAGGCAAGAGCTCTACCACTGAGCCACCTTCCCAGCCCTAGAAGATAGATTGTAATGAAGGATGGTGGCTTATCAGCTTTTAAGAACCAGGATGGATGCACAGGGAGATTTACAGAAATCCTACTTTCCAGAGTTGCACAAGTGGGTTGCATTGGGGAAGCTAATGCCCATGTTCAGTAGTGTAGTTAGTGTTTAGTTGTTCATGTAGTATTTGTGATGAAAGAGACTGCCATGCCCAGCCAGCTTGTTTTTTTGTGTGGGTACTGGAGCTTGAACTCTCAGGGCTAGGTGTTATTCCTTCATGTTTTCCTTAAGGCTAGCTCCATAGCACTTAGACCACAGCTTTGCTTTCTGCATTTTGCTGGTTAACTGGAGATAGAAGGGGCTCTTCTGTCATTCTGAGGACCCCAGTGTGATACCTTGCATTCCAGTCTGAAGTAGGCTGTGGAAACTGTGGCTTGTGTAATGAGAGACTTAGGCATTTTCTTAACTATGGGACAGGGAAGATTGCCATAAGCAGAGGAGAAGGCTAATTGGCATATGGCTTGTAGGCAGGTAGCACTGCACCTTCCTGGACAGGTTTTCAGGGAATGGCAAGGAGGGTGTTACCTTAACAGACTGTTCTGTTGTGCTAACTCCTTTTACATTTTCTTCTCAGAAATTAGAATAGACTTTTGGCCATTTTAGAGGGTTCTGGGAACAAGAAGCTGCCATTGCTATATCTTTCCAGTAGGCAGGCTAAGGTTTAATATAATGAACAGACAGGAAATGAGTCCCAAATTATCTACCATGCGTGGTGGCTAAGTTCAAAGGTGCATCTTGATGTTTCCCACTTCAGGGCCAGCCAAGTCTCGGGATGGTGAACGTACTGTCTATTGCAATGTGCACAAGCATGAACCCCTTGTGCTGTTCTGTGAGAGCTGTGATACCCTCACCTGTCGGGACTGCCAGCTCAATGCCCATAAGGACCACCAGTGAGTTATGTCCTGAGTCACAGTTGGTGTGTGGTGCCAATTCTTCCTGGCCCTTGCATGCAGGTTCACATTTGCTTTCAGGTATCAGTTCCTGGAGGATGCAGTGAGGAACCAGCGTAAGCTGCTAGCTTCACTGGTGAAGCGCCTTGGGGACAAACATGCTACACTGCAGAAGAGTACCAAGGAGGTTCGCAGCTCGTAAGTGTGGGTGCCAGGGCTGTGAGGTGGCCTGGGGCGGGACTTCCTGGCCTGACTTGCCCTGTGTCCTAGGATTCGCCAGGTGTCTGATGTGCAGAAGCGTGTGCAGGTTGATGTCAAGATGGCCATCCTGCAGATCATGAAGGAGTTGAACAAGCGAGGTCGTGTGCTGGTCAACGATGCCCAGGTGGGTCATGCATATCAGGTGGGGTGGTGCCTGGGCCCTTTTTCCTGGTTGATGCCATCCAGATAGAGGCAGATTCCAGAGGTCATCTGCCTTCTTTGCTCACTTTGTTCCCCTGGCCTGCAGAAGGTGACTGAGGGGCAGCAGGAACGCCTGGAGCGGCAGCACTGGACCATGACCAAGATCCAGAAGCATCAGGAGCACATCCTGCGGTTTGCCTCTTGGGCTCTGGAAAGTGACAACAGCACTGCCCTACTGCTTTCCAAGAAGCTGGTATGTGGTGATGGGCCTGGAGCAGGTTTCTTCAGCATCATTGGGCCTCTTGTTCATTGTACTTTGACCCACCTGCTGTCCCCACCAGATCTATTTCCAGCTGCATCGAGCCCTTAAAATGATTGTGGATCCTGTGGAGCCACACGGTGAGATGAAGTTTCAGTGGGACCTCAATGCCTGGACCAAGAGTGCTGAAGCCTTTGGTGGGTCTTACTCCTTTGCCTTTGCTCTTACTTGTTTTTCCACCCCAGGTGTTGTGTTTACTTAGGCCTTTCTCTTCCTTTAGGCAAGATTGTGGCTGAGCGTCCTGGTACCAACTCCACAGGTCCTCCACCCATGGCTCCACCACGAGCCCCCGGACCCCTGAGTAAGCAAGGCTCTGGCAGCAGCCAGGTAAGCAGGCTAGAGGACCCAGGTAGCAGCAGAGAACAGTTCCATGGGGTATGTCTGCCTTACTGAGGTTATCTGCTTTGTTCTGTCTATAGCCTACGGAGGTACAGGAAGGCTATGGTTTTGGGTCAGGTAAGTGTAGCTCAGACTGGTAAGTGGGAGGTTCCCAGTGATTGCCCAGTGTCTATTCTAACTTGCTTCCTTTATCTACTATTTGAGCCATATCCCCATCTCTCTACTTGTCGTTTCTGAGCAGATGATCCCTACTCAAGTGCAGAGCCTCATGTATCAGGCATGAAGCGGTGAGTGTGGCATTCCCCTGGGGTGGCAAGTAGTTGGAAGGATAGGGATGGGGGCACTCATGCCAAGGTCTGTCTATAGGTCGTCCCGCACAGCTGAGGGTGAGGTGAGTGGCCTCATGCGCAAGGTGCCCCGGGTGAGCCTTGAACGCCTAGACCTGGACCTTACAGCTGATAGCCAGCCACCAGTCTTCAAAGTCTTTCCCGGCAGCACCACTGAGGACTACAACCTCATTGTCATTGAGAGAGGTGCTGCAGCAGCTGGTCAGTCAGGGGCTGTGCCCCCAGGGGCTCCTGGTGCCTCTCCCCTGCCTGCCATGGCCATTGTTAAGGTGAGCTTGCCCTAAGGGGCCGAGTTTGAAGGATAATGTTCACTAGATATGAACTCCTACTACTTGAAATCTGATTGCCTTGCCAGGAGGAGGAGACAGAGGCTGCCATTGGAGCCCCACCCACTGCCACTGAGGGTCCTGAGACCAAGCCTGTGCTCATGGCTCTGACGGAGGGCCCTGGCCCCGAGGGCCCCCGCTTGGCCTCCCCGAGTGGCAGTACTAGCTCTGGCCTAGAGGTGGTGGCTCCTGAGGGCCCTTCAGCCCCCGCTGGTGGCCCAGGTGCCCTCGATGACAGCGCCACCATCTGCCGTGTCTGCCAGAAGCCAGGAGACTTGGTCATGTGTAACCAGTGCGAGTTTTGTTTCCACCTTGACTGCCATCTCCCTGCCCTACAGGATGTGCCAGGGTGTGTGCAAGGCTGGGTGGGTGGGTTCTGGGCAGGGATGGGTGGGCTGAGCATAGACCTGTACTTTCGGTCACTTTTTGCCCTAGGGAGGAGTGGAGCTGCTCACTCTGCCATGTGCTTCCTGACCTGAAGGAGGAGGATGGCAGCCTTAGCTTGGATGGTGGGGACAGCACTGGTGTAGTGGCCAAGCTCTCACCAGCCAACCAGCGGGTGAGTAGCCAGACTTTGGTGTTTGGCCTTGTGGCAGAATCCCTCTCTGCAGCTCTGACATCTCCTTGTACCTGTTCATAGAAATGTGAACGTGTCCTGCTGGCGCTGTTCTGCCATGAGCCCTGCCGCCCTCTACACCAGCTGGTTACTGATTCTACCTTCTCCCTGGTGAGTGCCAAAACAGACAGGAGAGGAGGGGCAAATGCTGGCCTTAGCCTCATTGTGTGTCTGTCTGCACACAGGAGCAGCCTGGTGGTACCCTGGACCTAACCCTGATCCGTGCCCGCCTCCAAGAGAAGCTGTCACCCCCTTACAGTTCTCCACAGGAGTTTGCCCAGGATGTGGGCCGCATGTTCAAGCAGTTCAACAAGTTGACTGAGGTAAGCTGTGCCACCCGTGGGGGGTTTTGGACTGAAAGCGGGAGAGTGTCAGGAGCAGGACCCACCCACTCAACGCACCTCCCTGCCTGGCTCAGGACAAGGCGGATGTGCAGTCCATCATCGGCCTACAGCGTTTTTTCGAGACACGCATGAATGATGCCTTCGGTGACACCAAGTTCTCTGCTGTGTTGGTGGAGCCCCCACCGCTGAGTCTGCCCAGTGCTAACCTAAGTTCCCAGGAGCTGTCTGGTGGCCCTGGTGAGGGCCCCTGAAGCCAGATTGGCTCTGGTCTCTTCTGTCACCCCACGTTTGTCCTCCCCCCACCCCCAGGTGACCTGATCTCCTCCCTGGTGTCCTCTTCCCTCAGTCTCACAAAATGGTTTTTACTTCTGTGGATTTAATAAAAATTTCACCAGTTGCTCAGGCCTCTCCTGGTTGTGGGCTGTGGTCCTGAGACCTGGTCTCTGCATCTACTCATCCTTGTCCAATTACTCCCCCCCCCCCCCCCCCACTTCAGACCACCTGAAGCCTTCTCGATGCCAAGGGAATGTGGAAGAATATCATCCACTGACCGTTTTCCTGGGAGAGGAAGGGTCTTGCAGGGTGGAAGGTGGTATACATACCGGAGGCCTGAGCTGACAGAGTGCCCCACTGTACTTTGTATCCACCCTTGGTGTTTCCCATGCCTTTTGCACCGACACTTTCCTTCCCTATCTTACACTGCAAAGTTCTCCCATCTGTGATCTTTCAGCTATTTATTCTCCTGGTTCACCTTCAGTGAGATGTCCAAGTTGGGTTGGCTGTTCTCTTTGGCTTTCCATCTTTTGTTGTATCCTTAAATTCTTCACTAGGTCAAGCTATGTTAAGACATTAACCAGAGCAGTGATGGAGAGTAAAACCTTGACTTCAGCCCCAGAGGCTAGCGTTTTAAGGCCAGGCTTGCACATCCCTGCTCCAAGCACTAAATCACATTGGAATTTGGGTATGGAAGACAATGTAGTAAAAGGCTAGGGAAGTTAGCGTCCAATCTTTTATTGAGTGGGGTTGGAGTAGAAACTGGGCATTCTATCCATCCCAGGGGGTGGGTGGGTTGGTCAGTCCCTTCGCAGATTCTTGAGTCTCTCTTCCAGGTCTGCATCAGCATCAGCCAGAGCTGAGGCTGTGGCCTCCGCTTTTTTCCCACCAGCAGCTACACTGAGTGATCCTCCAGTGGAGGGAAGGTCTGCAGGGAGAGTGATAGTTTAGGGAGAGGAAGGATTGCGCTGTAACAAGAGGGAAAAAGTACAGGTTTTAGCAGTACTCACTTGACAGCTCATCAGTCAGGCTCAGTCCCAGCTCATCCAGGACTTGGGACACAACAGCATCACTAGGGAAGAGGAGGAACTCCATCAGGGCTATGTGAACATCCCTAATCCCAGGGCTAGGAAAACATCCCTTTTTCCCGCCTTTCCCCACAACCTCTCCTCTTCATCCTCTTCATCACCCATGGCATCATCTATAGCATCATTCATCATTTCTTCCTTCATGTCCATAATCTCTGCCTGCCGCTCAAACTCCATCATGATCTTCTGGATCTGTGGCAATTTCAGCTGGAAGTAGGGGGTGGTGAGTTAATTGAAGGTCAAGAATAGGGAATGGGAGGCACACATACCTTCCTTACCTGTCTGTTCATAGTACCCATAGCCTTGGTAACACCCTTCATGGCTTGTGCCATAGAATTGTTAGACTTGAGTGTCTGAATCTTGAGAGAGACAGCCTGAATGTTGGCTCGCATTAACACAAACTTGCGTACATAGCGCCGGGTGCGCACAAGGTCTTTTGCCATAATGCGTACAGCATCCTGGAGAATGGAGAGAGGACAGAGTATAAGGATAAAGCTGTGAGATTAAGTTCTATTCCTGCTATTTCCAGACATCTCAATGTGTTTTGTCACTGACCTTTAAATACAAAAGGAGGCCCAGGGTCACTCTTACAGGTCTTTTTCCTTCCCCATGTAGAATCACTCACTGCCTGGAGTTCTAAACACTCAGAAGGTTGAGAGTTGAGGCTTAGGACTGCAAGTCAGTCAGGGCATACCAGTCCAAGAGACTTAACCAGCAAAAGGCTGGAAGTGTAGGTATGGCTCCAGTGGGAGACTGCCAGCCTTGAATGAAAACAGTACAAAACCTCGAGTTTAGGTACTAGTGTGAGTACCAAAGGAGTGCCCTTGCTGTAGATTTTACTCAAAAGAGCGCTTGCTTAGTGCACAGGTCCTGGTTCCAATTTGCAGGAATACAAAAAAAAAATATTAAAGATCCTTTTTGTCCTTGCACATACTCTGCAGGTTCACTAAAGGTTCTGTCACCCATCTTAATTTGTTTTCCTTACTGCTCATCTCTGTGTGAGTACTGATTCAATTCCAGGCCTCATAACTTGGCTTGTACTACATACCACTTGAGCCACAGCTCTGCTTCCGGTTTCTGTTTGTGGTACTGAGAACCCAGGGTTTCAAGCATGCTAAGCAAGCATTCTACCACTAAGTTACATTCCCAGGCCTCATACTTTTTTTGGGGGGGGAGGGGGGGTGAGGGGGGAGGTCCAGTAGTGGGCCTGAATTCTGGGCCTGGGAGCTGTCCCTGAGCTCTTCAGCTCAAGGCTAGCGCTCTACCACCTGAGTCACAGCGCCACTTCTGGCTTTTTTCTTTTTCTTTTTGCTTATGTGCTGCTGAGGAATCAAACCCAGGGCCTCAAGCATGCAAGACAAGCACTCTACCACTGAGCCACCTTCCCAGCCCTCAGGCCTCATACTTTCAAGGATGGTACTCTACCATTTGTGCCACATCTCCACTTAGACCTCCCTCCTTCCTCTCTTGGTGCCAGTCTTAGTTCTCTGGACACTGGGCTTTTGTGCTCAAGGCTAGGGCTCTTTACTTGAGCCACAGCTCCACTTCTGGCTTTTGGTGCTTAATTGGAGATGAGACATGGGCTTTTGTGGCTGGACTGGCTTTGAACCATGATACTCAGATCTCAGTCTTAAGTAGCTAGGATTACAAGCATGAGCCATTTGTGCTTTCACATTTTTTGCTGGATAACTGATGATAAGAATCCTGGATTTGAGCTGGGAATGTGGCTTAGCGGTAGAGTAATTGCCTAGCACACCATGAAGTCCTGGGTTCGATTCCTCAGTACTACATAAATAGAAAAAACCAGAAGTGGTGCTGTGGCTTCAGTGGTAGAATGCAAAGCAAAAGAAAGCTCAAGGACAGGGCCCACGCCCTGAGTTGAAGCCCCAAGACTGGCAAAAAAAAAAGGTCAGGTTTGTAGTTGGCAACTCTCATCTAGATCTCCACCTGAGTGGCTAGGGATATAGGTGCAAGCCACTGGTATCTGGCTCCACCCACCTTCCCAGCCTCCTTACTGTAAATTTCAGCTCCTACTGTGTCCCATGCCTCTGAACTGTTTGGTCCCTGTCCACCCATGAGAGCTCACTTGTTCTCCCAGATTCCTATAACTTTAGGTCACTGTCATTGTCAAGTCTTGTTGCTGGTCGACAGCACTTCTTTGGAGGCAGCCTCAGACATCTAAACTGGAAGCCATGCTCATCTTGTTCACCATCACAGCAGCATCCATCTAAGTGACACCATTTCCTGCGTCAGAGCCCCTGACCGCCCACACTCACCATCTGGCCCTGCTTGGCCATCTTTTTGATATCTGCAATGATTTTCTTCTCCTGGGTCTCTAGCTTCTGTCGCTCTCGATCCAGCTCCCTCATTGCTCGGTTCAGTGCCCGCTGGTTCTGCCGCAGTAACTCTTCTGGCGTCTTCCGGCGCCCAAACAACAGGTCCATGGTGGTGATGTAAAGTGCTTTGCTTTCGGGCCTAAGAAATGTGATGCCGAGCTCTGGGGCGTGTCCTAGAAAGATCAACAGGTAGAGCGAGGTTACTCAGGTAGGCAGGGACAGGAGGCTCTGAGCCTGAGGGACGTGGGCAGCTCTGGGGATACAGCAGGAAAACCCCATTTCGCTGGTTCCAAGAGCCAGGGGCGTGCCCCTAGAGTACGCTGGGGTGCAGCCGGACCGGCCCTGGGCGAGCGCAGGGTCCGGGCCCCCGGGCTGTGGGGCTCGGACGACTCGGACGAAGCAGGCCGAGGCTCCGAACGTCAACAGGAAGTGGGGTCCTGAGCGCTGAGCCTGCCTCGCGGCAGCTGGCACCCCGCGCACCCTGTGCACCCCGGACGTGGCGGTGGCGACGAGCACCGGCCTGCGGGAGGGGAGCGCAGGGCTCCTCAGCACCCAGGCGGGAGGTGAGAGCGGCCGGGGTCCCCGCCAACAACGAAGTCGGGCTCCCGGAAGGGCGCAGCACTAGACATCCCGGCCAAAGGGAAGCCGCCGCTCGCTCGGAACCGGAGGCCCAGCAAGTCACTCACCGGAGCTGGGACGGGGAAACGCACGCCTTTCCGCTTCCGGGTCAGACTCGTCTTGCTCGGATCCGCGGCGAACCCACTGGCAGCCCCTCCGACAGCCGCCAAAGCGACCGCCGTTTCCGGCTTAAACCGCCTGACGTCACCCGTCCCGCCCCCACCTGGAACGCTGGGAAGTGGTAGGACCACGCACGCGCGCGAGCTCGAGGGCATGCGCACTGCCGGCGGAGGGCCCGGTCCCGCCCAGCGGAGCGGAGGAACGCCGAGTCGTAGCTTCCGTGGGCGTGGCTCGCCTTCCGCCTACGCCCCCCGGCCCTCAGACTTGGGCCAGAACAATTCCTCCTCGGACCCCTTCTGTGGAGAGCACCTCTTGAATGTCGCCCTGCGAGCCCAGGCGTGGTAGGCAGGGGGCAACACTACCCAGGAGCCCCCGTGCTGGGGAGGCTGCCCGCTGGCAGGGGTATCAGACCCTGGCTTTGCCTTTCATCCGAGCGAGCCAGCCGCAGCCTGACCACCCGTCCCATCCCCCACCCCAGCCCTGACCGTCCCCGCCCACAGAAGACGCAGAGGCCATGCAGTAACATTCCCCTTTAATAGCCTGGTGGGACCTCCAGTGATGGAGGGGTGGGTTTCTGAGGCCCAGCTTACCCAGACCCCTAGCCCACCCACCCCACAGCCCAGAGCGGGCGGCTGGATAGCACCCAGCGGGGAGGAGGGGGGCTAGACAAGCCAATTCATTTCCCATCGCTGAGCAGGTCGGGGAAAGGCAGCGCCGACCATAATCACATGGTGGTTAAAAAAAAAATAACTAGGGGTAAGTAGCAGGGAGGAGTGGCAAGACCAATGCAGGGATTCCCCCACTGGCCCCCAAACCCCACCCGTGGCCCCCAATAAATATTTGCAGGGGATGCCCGGGCTGGTGACCCTGGCAGGGGCAGATATGCGCCAACCCTATTTCAGGCAGCGCTCGAAGTAGGTGGACCCGATGTAGCCACCTCTCATGGAGCGCTGCACATTCTGCTCAAACAGCCGCCGGTTGTTTTGAAGGACCTCGGCAGCCTCCTTGTTCAACGGGTCTTCGGGATTGGGCTCCTGTGGTCAGCATAAGTGGGGTCAGCTGGCCTCAGAGGCAGATGGCAAACCTCTCCCACTTTCATCAGCCCCTTCCTACTCACCAAGAAGAGATACTGCAGGCCATATATTATGGAGTTTATCGTAAGGACTGGCTTCCAGTCCTCTCTGTAGGTAGAGAATATCCTGGTTAGTTTGGTGATTGGTAAGCTAGTACTAAACAGATCAGGTTTAGGATGGGAGAGTATGGATGGCAGAAAGTAGAGGGAATATACTGAGCAGGGAAAAAACTGGGATAGGAAGGCACAGAGTAACACAGACCACATGAGCGAGGGAGGGAGGGAAGGGACAGAGCCTAATGCAGTGTTTACAGGTTTAGAGGCTCTTGCACGCAAGGGATGGGGAAAGCCAGTGACCTCACCTGAGGATGTTGAGGCAAACATTGCCCTCGAGGTCAATGTTGGGGTGATAAACCATCGTCTCACACTTCACCTTGGGGGGGTCATGTGGGTAACCCTGGCCCACCTGACTCCAAGAAAAGAAAAAGAAGGTTGGTAGGTATGCAAGGAGGCCTGGTACGGCCTCCATGGTCTGCTGAGCCATCTCTGCCTACTTGGGACTCACCTTAAAACTGAACACAAATTTCCCACTCTTATAGAAGCCCTGCAAGGAGAACAGGGGGAAAAAAAGACATCAGGGCCCAATCCTACTGGGCATGAAGATCTCCCGTCAGCCCAGGGAGGCCATCCCTGGTCTGTTCCTGGGAGCCGTGCTAGGTCTGCTCTTACCTCATCAGGACAGATAACCAGCTTGAAGTTGAGGAGGTCGTCTGGGTCAGAGAAGCTGATGTCACACGTCTTGGGCAGGTTCAGCTCGTTTATGTCTATGTTTATAAGAAGAGAAAGGGGCCAGACAGAGGGAAAGAAAGAAAGAGCAAGTGAGAAAAAGGACGAGCTCTGGTTAAGTGTCACCACAGCCTTCATGGCTTCCTCTTCCTCTGGGATCTGAGGGGTTCTGTTCCATATCTCTTTACTCCTCACTTCATGCTCTCGGCACTGTAAGTGGGCTCTTCTGTGTAAGTCCCCCCTGACATCCATCAGTTACAGCTTCATTCTCCTGAATGAATCCTAACTCCTAAATCCATAGCCCCCATTTTTTCCTAACCGGCTTTGAAATGCCCCATTGCTGTGTCCCCTGGTCTTCAACATCACCTGGAAATCTCCAACCTCAGCTTCACCAATCATGACCTGCACTAAAGCTCCTCCTCTGCGTGCCCTGTACCACCCCTTAGACTAATCTGAGTGTCACTCCAACTCTGGTTCCCCTGTTCTCCCTCACACTTACAAGTCCCCTCTCCTGCCCCACTCTATAAAGTTTCCAGCACCATAGTGTAAATCGTCCCTCACCACTGCTGCTTTCAGTCTCTACTATCCACCGTTCCTTCCTCCTCCATCTATCCCCCTAGGGCGCTTAAGTCCCAGGCACCCCAATCAGACATCACCCTCGCGCTCTCCATTTCCTTCCCCACAGTGTGTCGGCTCCCGGGCTTTCCACGGCCTTCCTCCCCGGACGTTCCCCGGCCTGCTGTCAGGACACCCCCGGCCGACCGCCGCATCGACCCCGGCCCGCGGCCCGGACCCGGGCCCGGCCTGCCCCTGCCCGCGGCCCCTACGTCCACCCGACCCCTACCCTTCTGGATCCGCAGCTGCGCCGCCGACGCCTTCTTGCTGCTGCCCTTGGTGCCGCCGGCCGACTCCTCCTCCTTCTTCTGCTGCTTCAGCGAGAACAGCTTGATCATCCTGCCGCCGCCGCCGCGCCGCCGCCGCGGGGCCCGGGACCCCGGCCGCCCGGCCCCTCGCCGCCTCCGGTGCCGCTCCCGCGCCTCGGACCCGCGGCCGCGGCCTCCTCCGCCGCCGCCGCCGCCCGCCCGGCCCGCCGCGCCGCTCCGCGCCTGCCGCGCGGCCCGCCTCGGCTCCCGTAGCCCGGCCCGGCCCGGCCCGGCGCCGCGCCTCGGGCCCGCTCGGCCGCGCTCGGCCGCGCTCGGCTGTTCCCGGCCCCGCCCGGCCGCCCCGCCCCCGCGGCGGCGACCCCTCCGCCCGCGCCGGTCTCCGGGGGCTCGGCCGCCGCTCGGCTGCGGCCCCGGGGCTCCCTGTCCCCGCTCACTCGCTCCCCGCGCGAGGGGGCTGCGGCTCCGGGTGGAAAGAGGGCTCCGCGGCCGCGGCGGCGGCAGCCGGGGCTTCCTCGCGGAGGTTGGCAACGGCCTCGGGCGCCCCGCCGCTTCGGACTTTTCCGCCGCCGACCCGACCCGGCGCTTCCGGTCCGGGCCGCTCTCTGCGCCTGCGCAGCCCCGGCCGCGCCGCGCCGCGCCGGCTCCGAGGCTCGGGCTTCTCCGGCCGGGCTCGGGCGCTTCCGCCCGCGGGGGCGGCGGTTCCCAGGCGCCGCGGGCCTTCCGGGGACGCTCTGCGGGGAGGCCGCACCTCAGCGGCCGTCTTCCGGCGCGGCCGGATGCTCGCTGCTGCTCTGCCGGAGCGCGCGTCCTGAGTGGGCGGTGGGACGGGGCGGAGCGGGGCGGACTCTCTCCGGACGCGCGGCGCGGAGGACCGCTGGCTCGCCCGGCCGGAGGGCGGGGCGGGAGGGGCGGCGAGCTCGGAGCTCCGAGTCTTGCGGGACGCTGCGGTGGGACCCACCCGGAAGCCAGCCCGAGTGAGCGGCCAGCGCTTTGAGCGCAGAGGCTGAGGCCCGGAGGCCGGCGGGGCGCGCGAAAGTCGAGGCCTGGAGGCCAGCGGGGGATGAGGCCCGGAGGCCGGCGGGGCGCGGCGCCCGGCGACTTCCCGTCCGTCAGGGAAGCAGTGGAGTTCAGATACCCCGTCATTCTTCCTCAGTCACTGTCTTTTTTTGGGAGGTCCTGGGGTCTGTCGTGGGGTTTGAACTCTGACCTAGGCGCTGTCCCTCAGCTCTTCAGCTTAAGGCTAGCGCTCTACCACTTGAGCCACAGCGCCACTTCCGGTTTTCTGGTGGTTCATTAGAGATCATTGGCCTTTTCTGCCAGGGCTGGCTTCGAACCGCAATCCTCAGATCTCTGCCTCGGGGTAGCTGGGATGACAGGTGAGCCGCGGGCGCCCGGCTTCAGTCGCTGTCCTTTGGCTGGACGGACAGTGGCAGCCTTGGGGCCAGAGGACACCCCCCCTCCCCCCCCCCCACATACTGTGCTGTGGCCCCGGCTGGCTCGGTGCTGAGGCCCGGAACCGGGTCTTGGTGACACGACGACCTGACGCTGCCGCGGAGGTGCTACCCACCCTGGAGCCCCATGCACACAGATCTCAGCTCCGTGCACTGCGGTACGGGAGAACCTCGTGTGCATTTGTGCAGGTGTGGAATAAAACCACTGTCATGCGGTGTGGATCCAGAGCCTGGGTGTGTGTGTGTGTGTGCACACGTGCTTGTGGAATAAAACCTTAAGCTTCCGTTACAGCACTGTCATGTGGTGTGGACCCAGGGCCCGGGCTCTGGGCCCCAGCTCGTTTTACTCAAGGCTGGCTCTGCCACTTGAGCCACAGCTCCACGTCTAGCTTTTTTTTGGGGGGGGGGGGGGTCTGGTCATGGGGCCTGAACTCTGGGCCTGAGTGCTGTCCCTCAGCTCTTCAGCTCAAGGCTAGCGCTCTACCACTTGAGCCACAGCGCCACTTCCGGCTTTTTTCTTTTTGCTTATGTGGTGCTGGGAATCGAACCCAGGGGCCTCAGGCATGCAAGGCAAGCGCTCTACCACTGAGCCACCTTCCCAGCTCACATCTAGCTTTTTGGTGGCTAACTGGAGAACAGTGTGGCATGGGCTTTCCGGGCTGGCTCATTACAGCTGTCCTGTCTCCTTAATAGCTGGGATGAGAGGTGGAGCTGCAGGCACCCGGCTACCTTGGAGCTGCAGGCACCCGGCTACCTTGCAGCTTTTATGTTTTGCTGGTCCCGGGGCTTGAACTCAGGGCCTGGGCACCGTCCCTGAGCCTTTGTGCTCACGGCTTGTGCTCTCCTGCTTCAGCCACAGTACTGAGGATTCTCAGGCAGGGCCTCACTTCCCAGTGTGTTAATTTTGGTGAGTAAGATGGTCTGGTTTCTTCCTGGCACTTAGCTCTCGGCTCCAACAGCACATGGTCCAGGCATGGGTCACCGCCTTGGTGACCCAGGTATGCCAGCTCCGGGGCTTACTACTACTGTCAGCTCTCGGACCCTAAGAGGGAAGCCTCCTGAGCAGTTCCCCAGCTTCTCCTCCAGTGGCAGGAATGCTTGGGTTGTCAGATTGTTGAGGGGCAGGGTGAGGTATGGTCAGGCCCAGAGTGGACCGCTGATTTCAGAGGAGGGAGGACTTGGGTAGCGGGGTCTCTAGTGCTTCCCGGGCCTTGGGGGAGTGGTGTCACCACCATGAGAGATCCCAGAAGGTCCTGTGCCGACATTAGGTTCCTGTCCAGGCTCCATCATTGTGAAGGGTGGGCTCGTGCCCACCACAGACCTGTTCACCTGCGGCTCTGCGAAGAGCGTGGTGCCGCAGGCTGGGTGGCTCTGGGGGCAGCTCACTGTGGCCTCTGGGCAGCTCCTCAGTCCACCTCCTCTTGACCGTCCCACCTCCTCTGACGGACTGCCCACTGCTTTGGACAGTCTGCCGCCTCCTCTGATAGTCCGCCGCCTCTGATGGTCTGTCCACCTCCTCTGACGGTCCCGCCTCTGATGGTCCCAACTCCTCGAACAGTCTGCCCACCTCCTCTGATGGTCCCACCGCCTCTGACTATCCACCTCTTCTGAAGGTCTGTCCACCGCCTCTGACGGTTTGTCCACCATCTCTAATGGTCTGTCCACCTCTGCAGGTCTGTCCGCCACCTCTGATGGTCAGTCCACCTCCTCTGATGGTCTGTCCACTTCCTTTGACTGTCCCACTGCCTCTAATGGTCTGCCCACCTCCTCTGATGGTCTGTCCACTGCCTCTTATGGTCTGTCTGCCTCTGATGGTCTGCCCACCGGCTTCCTGGCACCAGGGATTCTGTGAAGACACCACTGTGGCTCCGATGGTTGAGCCCGCTGATGAGCAGGGCCCACAGGGTCAGTGCACACAGAATGCTTCCTGACTGGGGGCCCGCGGCCTGCCTGGCTTTAGGCAGGAGCTGTCCACTGGAGAGCCGCAGGGGCTGGGACCAGGGTTGAGCGGATCCGGGCACACCTGCCTGAGGCTCCAGGCAGGGAGCGAGGCTTAGTAACTTTACAGTGGGTACTCAGTCCATTGGGTGCTCACCAGAAGCCAGGCCCCGAGGGCACCCCCTGAGGTAGGCATACTTACTGAGCTCCTTGACTGTGCAGGCCTGTGGACACACTGGTGCCGGCGCTCCCTGGAGGAGCTCAGTGTTCCATGGAGGGGCTCAGTGCCCCTTAGTGCTCTATGGATGGTTTGTCCCTCCTGTGGCTGCGAAGCTGCTGCACCAGTGCTGGCCTGTAGGAGGCCCTGTCCTGGACACCGGACACTGGCACAGGAGGCCCTGGGATACGGGGGACGCGCAGGATGCCAGGGATGCATGCCAAGGACACACGGGAGACGCTGCTAGTGCAAACCCTGTGCTGAATCAGATGGGGGAGCACCACAGGGCTGGGCGGAGTTGGGCCTGTGTGAGATGACACCAGGGACTGGTGGATGCCCGTGTGCCCCGCAGAGCCATGAGGGTGGGCCGCCCACATGGTAGGGAGGACGGGTGCTGGGCGCAGGGAGCACTGCTGCCTGCGGGGAGGATTGGTGCAGGGCATGGGAGCACTGTGGCCTGTGGGGAGTTCTGAGGCCTGGGGCGATGGAGGACAGGGCGTCAGCAAAGGCCCACAAAGCCTGCTGGATGCACAAGGAGGAAGCTGGAGGCTGTGGCTATGGAGAATGGATGGTGCTACAGTGGGAGGCAGAACCATCAGCCATCAATGCAAATTGGAGATCTCTGAATGCATCGCAGGACATCAGGACAGACCTGCCACAGACACACAGGCTGGAGCCTCCAGACAGCCCCATTAATTACTGACACAGGACAAAGGTGTGGAAAGGGGTCCAGTGAACCCTCTTACAATATGGTAGGTCTTACAGAGAACAGTGCACCACAGGTCAGTTCATCTGCCATTCCCATCTTCTCTGTGTGTATTGGCATTGACCCCCAGTCCCTCACACCTAGCAGTCAAATACCTTAGCACTGAGTTCCATCTTCACTTAACTACATCTTCTGAATGCAGTTGTATTTGTGTTCCATGCTAGTACACACAACTGGAATGCCATTCTTGCAAAATCCATCCAAACAGATGTCTTTTGTTGTGAGTCAGTAGTTCTAGTGTCAGGTGTTTGTCTAATAGTTGTTTTCTTCCCGGTGCTAAATGACCTATATACAAGGTTGTTCAGTGTTTCAATGGAAGCAAGCTAAAAGCATCAGTGGGAACCTATGGGAACCACATTGAGCTGGAGTGAGGCTGGAGGCTGTGGTCCCAAGAGCTCAGGGCGACCTCTGCTGTGTGTGTGGAAAATTGCAGGTGTGTCATGAAAAACGTGTGGAAGGGCTGGGAAGGTGGCTCCGTGGTAGAGCGCTTGCCTTGCATGCCTGAGGCCCTGGGTTCGATTCCTCAGCACCACATAAACAAAAAGAAAAAAGCCGGAAGTGGTGCTGTGGCTCAAGTGGTAGAGTGCTAGCCTTGAGCTGAAGAGCTAAGGGATAGCACCCAGGCCCAGAGTTCAGGTCCCATGACCGGACCAAAAAAAAGAAAAGAAAAAAGTGGAATTGTGCTCAAATTAGGCATCCAAGATTTTTCTTTTTAAAAATTCTTTCATTCCTGGGTGCCTGTGGCTCACGCTTGTCATCCTAGCTACTCAGGAGGCTGAGATCTGAGGACTGGGGTTCAAAGTCAGCCCAGGCAGGAAAGTCCATGAGACTCTTAGTTCCAAGTGACCACAGAAAAGTTGTGAGTAAAGTAGTGGCTCAAGGGATAGAGTGCTAGCCTACAGCAAGAAATCCCAAAGACTGCTCTCAGGTCCTGACTTCAGGTCCCAGGACTG